TCCTTCCTTCCTTCCTTTCTTTCTTTCTTTCTTTCTTTCTTTCTTTCTTTCTTTCTTTCTTTCTTTCTTTCTTTCTTTCTTTCTTTCTTTCTTCTTTCTGCCTGGGTGCTGCCCCTGAGCTCTTTAACTCAAGGCTAGTGCTCTACCACTTTGAGCCACAGCTCCACTTCCAGTTTTTGATGGTTAATTTTAGGTAAGAATCTCATGGACTTTCCTAGTAAGGCTGGCTTTGAACCTCAATCCATAGCTCGAGAGTAGCTAGGATTACAGGTGTGGGCCACTAATGCCCAGCCATTTAATTATTTGCTAGTGTAAAACTGAAAAAATTAAGTATGTTCCACATTGTTGTGCAATTATCACCACTTTCCATCTTTAGGATGTCATCGTCCCAAAATAAAACTCTATAGTTATTAAATAGTAACTCTCCAGCATCCTCTCCTCCTTGCCTGACAACTACTATTCTGCTCTTGGTCTCTATGTGTGCCACTATTATGGGCAGCTCACATATGTGGAATCCTATAGTGTGTGTCATTTGTCAGGCTAGCTTATATTATCTTAGCATTATATATTCAAGGTTGTTGTAGAATGTTTCAAATTTCCATTTCTTTTTTTAAAGGTTGAATAGTACTCAACCTCTTTTATATGAAAAGTTGATACAAAAAAAAAACAGGGTTGGGAAGGTGGCTCAGTGGTAGAGTGCTTGCCTTGCATGCACACGAGGCCCTGGGTTCGATTCCTCAGCACCTCATAAGCAGAAAAAGCTGGAAGTGGCACAGTGGCTCAAGTGGTAGAGCACTAGCCTTGAGGTATAGAGCTGAGGGACAACGCCCAGGCCCAGAGTTCAGGCCCCACAACTGGCACACACAAAAAAAAAAACACAAGAAATTTTGCACTAGAGGAGAGTATAGAGACATCCCATCCAACCTTGTCTTTCTTCTCTTCCTGTTTTGTGTTTACAAAAATGAGGATAACAAGTCCTTCAGAGCCTAAATCATATGGCTAAGGTTATGAACCTAATGGGTGAAGTGCCAAGACTCAGAGCTCAGTGATCTTGTGGTTGCCTATTCTATGGACTAACAGGGGCTTTTTCTATCACACACCTGAATGTCTATATAGACAATAAAAAGTGTTATGTGAGTTGGTATCTCTAGTAACTGTTGGGAGAGTTACGAATTTCCTTTAATGACCAAGAAGCATTGCTCTCAAAAAGAAATACTCAAAACAGACATTGGAATTTTAGTTAACAACAAGTAATATTCTACAAGAAAAGGTTCTTTCTATACAGCCTATACCTTCTTTATTCTGCCTTGAGTTATGCACTAAAATCATATTTTTCTAAATTTATATTTTTGAAAATATTTTCACAGAAATTACTTTTATTTTTATATAATATCCAGATTCTAATTTTATTTTGAAACTACCGTTCTAAACACATCTCTCAGAGTACAAATGTGCAATTAGAACACAGATAGTAGGAAGATATAAATGAATAGTTTCTATATGGAAAATGTTCCTAATGTAAAATGGGCTCTCTATTAGTTTAAAACTATTTCTAAAAGGATGGAATATTGAATTCTGGGACAATTTTGAAATGCCTGCTTTATGTAAGTGTTATACCACAGTGGAATTGTTATCATGTAGGTCACCTTATGGAGTTTCTTTTCCCACAAGCATTCCATTTTTGTTACAAAAGGTACTAAGAGTTGACCCAGCTGACTGAGGGATCTCAGCCATTCTAGTTGGCAGTAATCAACACGAGTCCTTGTTCTGGCTGGCAATAACCAAGAAAGGATAGAAAGAACTGAGTTACTTTTCTCCCTAGTGTTTCCTTACATTACTGGAGTAAAATCAATGGAAGCACCCTTTTTTCCAGCTCAAATCTAGTAAAATATAGTAATTTCAGGAGCAAAGTAAAAATGAATCTGTATTTTTAACATGTTCCAATTAAAACTGATTCCTAGTTACTTAGAATACACTGTGCTAGCATAGGCTCCCATTTACGAGCTAGCAGGACAGTAGGCTTCTTTGTGGCCTATTATTTCAAACAGCATCACTGAATGAAAACATGGGCTAATGTGAGCTCACAGTAACCTCAGCAGAACTAGGGTGAATAACATTAGCCAGCTTGTAAATGATGGGTATGTCACAACTACTTGAAGGTTAAGGATTAAGGGTAAGAAATGTTGGGGTTAAATGGAATAGAACTGAAGATACAGAAATGAACCTACAGACCTATAGCCACTTAATCTTTGATAAGGGAGCTAAAAACACAGAATGGAAGAAAGACAGCCTCTTCAGTAAATGGTGCTGGCAAACTTGGTTTAACACCTGTAGAAAACTAAAGCTAGATCCTTATATATAACCTTGCACAAGAATCAACTCCAAATGGATCAGATCTCAAAGTCAAAACAGATACCCTGAAAACATTACAGGAAGGAATAGAAGAAACTCTAGGGCTTCTTGGCACAGGCTGAAATTTTCTTAATGGAGACACAGAAACACAGCAAGTCAAAGAAAGGTTGGACAAATGAGATTGCATAAAACTGCAGAGTTTCTGCATGGCAAAGGGCATAGCTAACAAGATCAATAGAAAGCCCACAGACTGGGAGAAGATCTTCACTAGCCATACAATGGACAAGAGTCTTAGATCTAAAATATACTTAGAATTCAAAAAACAAAATCCCCCAACAACAAATCCTCAAAGAAACAACTACCCGATAAATAAGTGGGCTAAAGACTTAAAGAGAAACTTCTCTGAAGAGGAAATGAGAATGGCCAATAGACATGAAGAAATGTTCAACTTCTCTAGCCATAAAAGAAATGGAAATCAAAACAACATTGAGATTCCTCCTCACCCCAGTTTGAATGGCTATAATCAAGAAATCTAGTAACAACAGATGCTGGAGAGGATTGGCCAAAAGTGAACTCTACCGCATTGTTGGTGAGAGTTAAACTTGTTCAACCACTTTGGAAAGCAGTTTGGTGGTTCCTCAAAAGACTCCACATAGAGCCACCCAATGACCCAGAAATCCCACTTTGGGGCATTTACCCAAACAATCACAAACAAGGCTATACTAAAGCTACCA